TGTACTGGATTGCAGTAGCATACGGATAAAGCAAACTTGCTATTTAAGCCCTGAAGTGGCAAGTTGTGAATGAACAGAGTACTTTACACTGAAGGGCAGTCAATTCTGAAACATTTATTTTACTCTGTTCTCAACTACGCATATATTCATACTATATTGTATTTTGCCACGTCATTGGACATTTTGAAAGCACAAGTTCAAATAAACAGCACCATCATGTGCCCAAATGCATACATTGCAGGTGAAAACACTACCCCATACAATACTGCATTAGCCACTTTTTTCTATTAAACACACACAACTGTGGATTTAGGATTTAAAGTATTTTAAAAAATGCATATACTTAAATAATGTAGCCAATAAAATTATTTAATTTTACTATTTCAAATGTGTAACAATTCTGTTGTCTGAGCTGGGACCATATTTACACAGATTCTATGTTTTGTACACCATTTTTAAAAAGATCATCTCATAAGGATGGGAACTCCATCAACAGAAATTAAAATTAACTTATTGTTTCATTATTCTTCCAGGTCATTTCAGCAGACAACTGCCCTAACTTGAGAGCTCATAGCACTATCTGGTAAAGTGGCTGAAATATGTTACAGAGGCTGATACGCTGTCTGGGTAACAGAATAACATTAGAGACAACCATTCAGCTAGGATGATTCAACAATTTGGCATAAAGGTATACTTCCCTTATTCATACTTCCAAACCAGGTTTTCTATGATCATATGTGCTCATTGTTTAAATAATGAATATTTAACATTAAAATCAGACTTCCAAAGAAAGTATATATGAATGAGTTTAAAATTTAAGCAAACAGAAAGTTATGAAAACTTAAGATAAAATTGCTCTGTTAATGAAAAAAGATCCATTTAGCACTTTAGTGGTAGCATTTTCCTTTGCAGATGGCATCTTGATAATACGGCAGCCAATGTGCACAGCAGGGTCTCACAAACAGTCGTGGAATTAAGTGACCAATTTCTTTTTAAAGATATTATTACCCCAGGAAAAGTAATCCGACAATCGACTAACAACCAGGTTCCTACTTACTGCTAGGTAAACAGAGGCGTGTGGAGTAAGCAAACTTGCCCAACATTTCACCCTGCTGGGAATCCAATTCAGTTCTCTCGCTTGTGAGCACATTGAGCTACAGGACTTCAAGAATATACTGTAAAGTGAACTGATATCTTAAAGTGCTTCACATAGCTGTATGGTACATATTGTACCTGTTCCCCAAAAATACATTTTAGAAAATGTACAAAAATGTTTAATTCATATTGCTTGGCAGTTTTTGTACTCAAAAGTTGTAAAGCACAAGGCTCAACATTCAACTCATTGCCATCTCTGAATTAGCAAACCACAACATAATTTTTTTTGAATTCCCACTGGAAACACAAACCTCTGTCTCGTGCAAAATGTTTAACCTCCATCTCTAGGCACTAGCCAACAATTCCAACGCCCTTTTTTTGGTCTCTGCTTCCAAACTCATCACATCTCCAGGAGATGTATAGGTAAATTCATATAGAATGAAGCTTTTCCAATTCCATCAGACTACATACGTACATACACACATACATTCTATTCACATCTGACATTTTTGACAGAAAAAATCTAAGGGTGAATAGTGTGATTATGCATTGATTACAAAAATGTAAGAATGTTACATTTCCAAGTTATGCTATTTTAGAGGATTCTGAACATCTAATTTTGTTCTGAAATTTTGCAAACAGCTTTCTAGTTGGTTTTGCATTCAAATCACATAGGTTTTACAAGGTTCAACATCAATGCTTGCCCCAAGCAATGGCATTTTCCATTTGAGTTGGTGGAATACTAGGATGCTTGCCCAAATAATAAGTGAAAAAGGATTTCAATCACCAATTTCACAAATGAATCCTCTCAAGATAGAATTTGAATCACTCTGCCTCTCCAGGTAATGAAAAGCTAACATAAAGAGAAGTTTTCATTCTCCTCATCAGTGTCACAGATAAAGTGATCATAAACAGCTTCTACAAACCATTTACATTTCACTCTTCGGATTGCAAATAAAAATGTTTTTTTAAAAGATACATAATTTATTCCATTAAAATATTCTATTACAAATATGGAACAAAACCAATGACCCAAGGGTAGAACCATGTAATTATCTCAAAATATTTAAAGTATAACACTATGAATGGCCCTTGGACAAAATGGTCAATTACTCCAGAAGTCAAATTGTTAATGATTTTTTATACTTTAAAAGGCTCTTCACCAGATAACAACTATTAGACAATGGGGGAGCGAAGTAAACAGGCAAAACATTTTTCACTAAGGAGGACAGCACTTACAAGGACATTTTTCAATTTTGTATGCCTTTTTCTTTCTTTTGTAAGTTATTTGTCAGCTGCAGTTCACTTGGCAAAGTGCCTTCTACTACTGAGAGGGTGAATTGTCAGCTGGCTTCCAGACTACCATCTATGATGGCAGTCAGCCACCACTCACAATTCTTTAGCCTCTTCTTTTACCTCATCTCTAAAGGATAATGTCACAACCTCCATTCGACTCAAATTGGAACAGAGTATATTAAGGATCAAATCTAGTCTCATACCCTTACCACTCAAGAGTCACTATGGCACTCAATCTCTTAAGAGGGAAAGCACTAACAAGTTAACAACAAAACATGATTTGAACTCACATAGGCTGACATACTGTATTTTACTGGATAGAATAAATTTATATTTGTTTTTACATATACATACATACAAAAAACGTGTTAATTTGGGTAGTGGGGAGAAGGAAAGTTATTGATATATAGGCTACAAAATGTGTTTTACATACAAACCAAGTTACAATGTCATACAATTTCAAAATAACCTGTCTAAATAATAATAATCCTATATTTGGTAGAGCACCTTTCATGTTTTGAGGATGTCCCAAAGTGCTTCACAGGATATACAGTCAAACCTGTTAAAGCAGCCAGCTCTATTCAGCAACCTGCTGCTGTCAACAACCAACCTGGAATAGTCCCGACCAACTTTCCAGTATAAACTACCTCTATTTAGCAACAACCTGTCTGCTGCAACCAGTGGCCATTTTTTTTTACCCTATAAGGTGTACCATTTGTGTACACACATACAGATATTCAATCCATTACAATCATTTCATAATCCAATTTGTGTGTGAATCCTCCAGAACCCTGCCATGCTCAATCTGGTTCTCTCATGGAACACAAATAAACGCAAACGTTCAATGAATATTTAGCTTTCCAATTGAGTTAATATTGTCGACAGGAAAAAAAGTGGTTACCGTTTTAGTACTTAAATATTTTCTAAATTTTGGTTTGTTCAACACATTCCTTTTGTATTTTAAATGGTATTCTTTATTGCATTGTAAATGTGTATTATCAAGATATTAGATGGGCATGGTTGAAAAAGTCAATATGATAATAATCCTTGGAATTAATATAGCACCTTATCACATCTTCGAGACATCTGAAAGCGCTTCACAGAATATACTGTAAAGTGTAGTGACAATCACTGCTTGTCCAGCACCTTGGGACGTCCTCCCGACATGAAAGGCGCTATACAAAAGTAATTTTGTTGTTGTTGTATGTTTTGTGGGCAAAATGTGGCAAACAATTGAACACAGCAGTGTCCCACAAACAGTCGTCGATTGAAATGACTAATTTATTTTTTATATTTTGAAGGAATTATTACCCCCGGAAAAGCGATCCGCCAGAGGCGTGTGGAGTGAGGAAATTTGCCCAACTTTTGCCCTACTGGGAATCGAACCCAGGCCGCTCGCTTGCTCTAACCACTAAGCTACAGGACTGCACACATATATATTTAGGGATAAGCAATGATCTTGATCATGAACAACTACACTTTCAATTCAACCCCATGATGAAAAAATATGGGAAAGTTGCCAGTGTGTGAACAAACAATCCAGTATCTGAATCATATACACCACATCAGACTGTTGATTCAATCGCAGAACTGTCAAACCCATTAAAGGAATGGATAGGTATTATGTATTGTTTCCATTTGGATACCAGCAAGGCTAAAATGTCTTGTACACAAGCATCGGGCTTATGTTATAGATGTTATATTTGGTAAAAAGTCAAACTCAATTTCCACAATCTGAAAGTTAAACACCAAGCATTTAAAATATTTATATAAAAGAGTAAATGCTCAGAAAATTAAGTAGTCTAACTGATCTGAGCTGATTTCTGGACCAAAATAAACCTCATAAATATAGTTAATTTACCTCTAATACAGTGGTCTATTATTCTATTACATTAATACCAAGTTGAGTGTAAGTTAATATTTGTTTCTGCTTTTTGAAATGCTGTACTGACACCTTGCTTCAATATACACATTTACTACTCTAAATGTACAAAGACTGATGAAGTGCTTTATTTGGTTTTATTTAAAGCTTGGGACCACAGGGTGTGTGTCAGGGCACTGGTGGAGTTTAACCAGCTAAAACGCATAGCTTGTCATTGCAAATACTGTCTTAAGGATTAGAAACAGAAAATATGAAATGCTGTATATAAAAATCTGAATACAAGAACTTCATCATCTCAGTTTCCTTTTGACATAAAGCTACTGAAATTCCTTCAGTGATTAGAGTACTAAAACAGTCTGATTGTAAGTTCTCTTTTGAAACAATACTTACAGTAGTCTGTTGAACAATATTTGAAGTTGTAGATACCCTTTATTCCACATGGTGTCTCTTTGATCCACTGATATGATCAACCTCAAATATTGTTTTACATTGATGTAAAAGGCTACAAAGGCTTGCTTTCATTAAATTCAAATAGGACTATAAAAATATTTATGACGAGTGACCCAATTGTTGAACAGAAAGTTGTAAATAGTAATATGCTAGAATTACATGTATTTAAATAAATATGATGAAATTTGTCACAGAGAGAACCTCTATATTTATTAATAACAAAATGTTGACCCTTCGCATCTCCCACTTAGATGCTTTACAGTACATGCATTCTTACCAAGCTGTTCAGCTCTGATGACTCAAGGCTGCCACACTGCTCGACTGTGCCTATTGGTTCCATTCCCTCTTCATCCCACAAGTAAGTACCAGCTGAGCTGCTGGAAGGAGAAAGTTCAGAGGAAGAGCCGAGTGGGCAGTTGTCATCTTGAGATACAAGGTCATTGCTTGATCCAGTGGTCTGGAAATTCTCCAAGTCCTTACATTGGTCTACTCAAGACATAAATAAATTGTTATTTTAATAAATATATATATAAAGCAAAATCTAACAGACAAAGACTGTGCATTTCTGTTCTTTGCTAATATTTATTATACTGTATGATGGATTGAGAATTAGAACTGTGAAATATGTATCCCCGACAGCTTACTCTTTTGTTATGAAATCAAGGATCATACCCAAAACATTAACTCACCTTTCTTGTTCAAATGCTGAACTAACTTAATGCAGATTTTTACTTTCCTGCTTTGTGTTCAAACTTCATGGATTAGCTAACTGATCATTCTTCTGGTTAAGTAACCAAATATATCAATATTAAGTTGAAGGATTTAACTTCTAATATGTACTTGGCACTGCTTTTTCTTTCATAGTTGTGAAAAATGAGTAACAAAAGATTTTTGTATCCATGTTTGTAATGCATCAGAGATAAATTTACTTTCTTCCACGACATGCAAATATCAAATAATGATTTGCGATTTGGAACCTGAATGTAATAGGTCAATTTATGAAGTGTTGTTAAAATGTTGACCAAGAAACAATAATTGAAAGAAGCAAGTGGCAACTTATATCGCACAATAAGAAGTACTGAAGCATCCTTTGCTTAGAACCAATTTTTCACTTAAGACTTCACAAGAATCTAGACTCATGAAATAGGATTATTGTTTTGGTTTATGCGATTGCAATTTATAATAATAATCCTTGCATTTGATATAGCGCTTTTCACGTCAGGAGGATGTCCCAAAGCGCTTCACAGAACACACTGTAAAGTGAATTGACTGTATATTTATGGGCGAACGCGGAAGCCAATTGCGCACAGCAATGTCCCACAAGCAGTTGTAGATGAAAATGACCAATTTATTATTGTTTTTGGTTTGGGAGGGATTATTATTAGGAGTGTGGAGTAAGGAGACTTGCCCAAGGTTTCGCCCTGCCTGGACATTTTGCTACGTTAACAAAAACTAAGTGGAGTGAATCACTTTCCCTTCATCATTGTCCCATGTGACATATTTCTTCATAAGCCTATTTGCTACATTTCACTATGCAATAGTGTGCCAATTTTCTATCTTTTGGAAGAGACATGACAAGGTCTACAGGAAAGCAAATTGGAGGTGCTCTAACACAATCACCAAAGATTGAAGTTAGATCACCCATTTAGTATTTTGTAATCACAGATTATTGGGAGTGGCTATGGAATGATTCTCTACACCCGTCCTGCAGTTAAACACACAACTAAACAATGGCATTTGAAGGTAAGTATCTCTACGGAAATATGGCTGCAAATCGACATCCAGTCACTTTATAGTGTGGACATTACACTGATGCTTGAACTGTCTGTACCAACAGAGAAATAGGGATAAAGATTCATTATGATTGTAATACTTATTGGTGATAATGTGGGGTGGGTAGCCTACCAAAATATAGTTTAAAGAAGAACCTCTATTTAAAATAATGAGCGCTTGAACATTAAGGAAATAGCTATAAATGGTCAATGTGTGTGACAATACGTGAAAATTGAATTAACACTGCAGTGATCATATTTTTGTGATGTATTAATAAAGTTACCTTATATTTTGCTGACAATAATAATCCTTGCATTTGATATAGTGCTTTATCACATGTTTGGACATCTCAAAGAGCTTCACAGAAAATACTGTAAAGTGAAATGACTGTATATTTTGTGGGCAAAATGCAATGTAAATTGTCCACTTCTTCTAACATTATCATTGACACTCTTTAACAGAAAAACATTAGTACAAAATATGAGAAAGTTAATAACCCTTCAAATTTCCTATTTCCCCTCAATCTCTAAAATTATTGAATGTCAGTTTAAACAGTCCAGGATAATTAGCAAGTTTCACTGTTGCAGTGCAACTTTTGCCTTTCAAATATCCAGTACCCATTTGTATAATCCAATATTTACTTATTTACTAGAATGTTAAAAACACTACGCAAAATACTGCAGATGCTGGAAATCTGAACAAAAACAGAAGTTGCTGGGAACACTCAGCAGGTCAGGCAGCATCTCTGGAGAAAGGAAAGTGACTTAACGTTTCAGGGCAACATTCATTCAAAGGGTCATGGACTGAAATGTTGACTTACTTTCCTTTTGCCGTAGATGCTGCCTGACCTGCTGAGTGTTCCCAGTGTCTTCTGTTTTTGTTAAAAACACAAGTTTCACTAAATGCAAATTAACTTAATCTCCTACTTAATTTTACTCACCAGACAAGCTCGTCTCTAGCCATTCTGTATCAGTATTGCCACAAACAAGAGTTTCATCTGCTCCTTCTGAAGTAATAAACTCATTGGGTTTTTGCAGATTATCAGAAATTTCTATTGAAATAGAATCACCACTATCAGCAATTTCTCCAATTCCTGAATGAAGAAAAGGTTCACTTTTATTATTCTGGTTAGATCTGGAGCCAGTTAATGATGTCAACACTACCAAATCATCAATATCCTTTTTTGAACTAGATTCAGATTCTTCAGGCAAACTTTTTTCATCTGTTGTATTCACAATGGCTAATTGGTGGTCAGTGGTATTTTCATTATTTCCATTTTCGTGAGTTGATGCATTTTCAAACTTCGAAATCCCAGGTATTTCTTCTATTGTTCCAGATATTGGATTTCCTCTTCCTGATGAGGGCAACCTACTAGGCTTAATCAATGAGGATCTTGTTGTCTTGTAGGCAGAGGAAGAAGTGGAAAACAAAGATGTAGAACAACTAGGAAGTTGTGGTCTTTTGAAGGCAGATGATGGTGCTTTTAAGCATGATCTATTGGAAGTATCCTGGAATGCTAATTCACCTGTGCTTGAGCTATCAGTGCCCCTTACATTCCCATAGGAAAGAACCTTTGGTTTTAAAGGAAGGCTTTTTCTTATCTGCTGTTGCAGACAAGTCCCAGAAACATCTGCTGCCTTTGAAAAAGACAAAGATCTTGGTATTCCAACACTGATAGAAGAGTTACTTGGCATGGAATATGAAAAACTTTGTGACCTAACAATGTTCTCATCTGCCAAGTTTTTCAAGCTCTCTGTGGATTGGGTAAGGCTATCTCTTGAACTGCTCGAACCAGAGAAAGTCTCTCTTTTTTCAGGTGCCTTTACAATTGTCCTTTTATAAAAATGACCGAATGAATGAGACTTTGAGTTAGAAGGTGTGATTGACTTTCCTGGAATCTTACCCTTTCCTTTTGCATAATGGTTTAAATCAGCCACAAGGTTTTTACTTCCCTCTACATAAGACACAATCTGCTTTTGTTTTAGACCCTTGGATGCGGCAGTGGACTTGCTCTTAAAGCCAAGATTTGTATGATCTTTCACATCCTTAGAATTTTTCTCAACTTCCACAAAATCCACATTAGCTGTCTTGTTAGGAAAGGAACTACTGGAGTCCTCTGTTTCACGTTCATCAAGCTTAGTTTTACCAGACATTTTCCAGTTGAAAGAAAAGGCACTTGCACGGCCAATTCCATTCTGCTTGCTGCTAGGTTTTGAACTGTTCGAGGTGCTGACAGTATGAACACAGGTTCCATTTGGTACAGGTTGGGGAAGCGAAGTTAATTTAGTGCCTCCACCACCAAATTTTGGCAATCTTGAACCTGAGCAGAGTTTGCTCTGTGCCTTTTCTTCCATTAGCTAGCAGATACTTCCAATCCTAATTTACTTGCAGTCTGTAAGACAAAAAAGGAGATATTTGGACAAATCTACCAAATAACAAAAGTTATAACTGTACTGTGAAATTTGATTTTCTTAGTTTGTTGGGTATTCATTATGCAGAAATTCTAATTTTCCCCGTAGAAACAACGACTCATTTACAGAACAGAAGACATGAGTCATACTTAGAAAATAAATTGTATCCTAGATGAGAAAGTATTCTTCCCAAACTCCAAAAGCAAAGTGTGGTTAATACATTGTGATCTATAAAGAATTTGTGCCCAATAATGAGATATCAAATGTTCCAGATATTCAATAAATGAGTGAGGTATGGACCCAGGAATATAGGGTACTGTAGTTAGCCTAACATCAGCAGTTGGCAAAAACACTAGCGTGCATGTTATAGGATTCTGATCAATGGAAGAAAGAATATTTTCAATGTTGTTTTAGGTGAACACGGTAGCCAATTCAGGCACATCAATGTCTCACTAACAGCCATGAAGTGAACAACCAATTTTATTTTGAGAGGACTGTTGGCTTGACACTGGGAGAAACTCCCTTTTAGTTTCAATTAGTGCCTCGAAATCTTTGACATCTATCTGATCAGATAGATGATGTGTTTAAAGTCCTGATGTTGATCTTGAACCCATAACCTTCAGACTTAGAGAGCGCTAACAACTGAGCATACCACCTTTCACATAAGGAGGATATCTCAAAACGTCAAAGAATTTACTGCAGAGTGTAGTGATTGTATTTTCTATGTAAAAATTCGCACAATTTCAACTACCACAGGCTGCGCCTCAAAAAAACTATGTGATTTCTTTGAGATAGCTAAATTAGTTGATAATAATAATAATAATCATTGCATTTGATATAGCGCTTATCACGTCTTCTAGACGTCCCAAAGCGCTTCACAGAATATACTGTAAAGTGAATTGACTGTATATTTGTGGGCGAACGCGGCAGCCAATTGTGCATAACAATGTCCCACAGACAGTCGTGGATTGAAAATGACCAATTTATTATTGTTTTGTTTTGGAGGGATTATTATTAGGCGTGTGGAGTAAGGAAACTTGCCCAAGGTTTCGCCCTGCCTGGAATTGAACTCAGGTCTCTCACTTGCAAAGCGAGTGCTCTAACCACTGAGCTACAGGACTCCATAATATTAATCCTTGCAACTGGTATCGTCAAGTCAGAAGGACGACTCAAAGCACTCCATAGCATTTACTGTGAAATGGAGTGACTGTATTTGTAGGCAAAAACGGCAGCATAATTGCACGCAGTAATGTCCCACAAACAGTGATGAAGCGAATGACGAATTATATTCAGGGAATTGCTGGCCAGGACACCGGGAGAAACTCCCTTTTCATTCTGAATAATACATTTACATTATTATTAATAAGAACAATCCAAGGATACAATTTTCAGAAAGTAATCGATGTTTCACATACAAGCCTAATAGAAAAACTTTATAGAAAACTAACTAAATTGAAAATGGAAAACAGTGAACAGTGGAGTTCCACAGAATTTAGTTCTTGATTTTTGGCTGTATCAAAACATTTACAACAACTTAAATATCCAGTCAGAAATACATTTAGGTTTAGATGTACAAGAAGGAATGTAGGTAATCAAATTGTAAAATACAATTCCGATACTGCTCTAGGAAATAATAACAGAATTTGATGAAGTATATAGTTACAGTATCAGCATTTACAAATGTATAAAATCTCTCTTAAGCCTTCTTTAGAATTGTTTCAATACAATTGGAACACAGATTAGATGGCATTACTTAAATTATTTGAAAATCTTTTAATAAAATACTGTAATTAAATAATCAATTCATCCTGAACTGAAATAAAATTTGAAAATCCTCAAAATTACAAAGATTTTGTATTCACCACCCTATTTGTATTTTCACACTCCCAAATTAATGCAAATAAATTGCTCACATTAATTATCCTCTACCAGGTTCCGATGGATTGCTTTCTCATGAAGATGGGCAAATGGCCTGTTTTCAGTTTGAAACTTATTTATATAACAATAATTACAATAATAATCCTTACATTTGCTGTAGTGCCTTATCACATCATTGAGACATCTCAAAGTGCTTCACAGGATATACTTTAAAATGGACTGTGGTATACTATACACTGTGTATTTTGTGGGCAAAATACTGATGGCATCTAGTGAAAAGCTGATCCCTAACATGGGGGTTCCAATTTCCCGACACTATTCTATTTCAACGGACTTTTTGAAAAAAAACACTACCCAACCTTGTGCTTCTGCAAAATTTAGAAGATGATGAGTCATGAGTGTTTGTTACATCACGAGCAACTTCAAATTTGGCGTAATCCTGTAATGCAGAATAATAGTAAAATGCTAAACTGATCTAACTGGGCGACTGCAGACAGAGAATCTGTTGGCTGTGATCTCATCAAACTAAAAATTAAACTGAGATTCCTAATAAAGAGAGTTTAGTACATCAGTAATAAAAAGATTCCATTTACAATCTTCCAGGCAGCAACCCTTCCAATCTCCAAGGGCATTTGAGACAAGAGTCAATCTACCTTTACATTTGTTAGATCTTTAAATATGACCTACTTCAACATTTAACAAGAGATCTAATTGGGAAAGCGGTTCAATCCTGGAGAGTGTGCAAGGACCCAAATAATGCAATATTACAATACTATCACACCGCTGAAGCGCTTTTGAGACTTCTTGAAAACGTGATAAAGCGCCATATCAAATGCAATATTATTATTATTATACTCAAGGCAGGGTTAAATGAGGGCAAATTTTAAATGGAAACATCTGTAATGCCAGGCACACGCCCTTCCCTGTCTTTAAAAATAAATCAATTGCAGGTGGGTTTTATTGTTACGAGAAAAATAATAATATTCCTTACATTCGGTATGGTGTTATTCACGTCACGAGGAAGTCTTCAAGCGCTTCACAGGATACAATGTGAAGTGCGTTGACTGTTTTGTGGGTGAACATGGCAGTCAATTTGCACCTATTATTACTGTAGCAATGTTCCACAAAAAGCCACGAAGTGAATGGGAAATGTTTGCTCTTTTCAGATAGTGCTTGGGACCTTTAATGTCCATGTGAACTGGCTGGCAGGATCTCGATAATAATGTCTCATTCATAGGACAGAAGCTCCAAAAACATTGACTAGGCATACACTAACTGGATGATGTGGGTTCAATGTCCTGACGTAGGGCTTGAAACCACAACCTTCTGATTCAGAGGAAGGTTACCAACTGAGTCAGGTTGACACTGATTCTCCCTAATATCTACTACACTGAAATAATTCAAAATTCATTGCTTTTTGAAGAATTTGTTTTGAATGAGGTTTTATCCATAGTATTATAGCTGACACTAAAATGCTTTCAGCCACTATGCCCCAAAACTCTGGAACACTTTCCCTCAATCCCTCCGCCTTGCCCCCTCTCCCCTCTTTTAAGTCCCGCCTGAAGACTTTCCTGTTCGACCGTGCTTACGGCCCGGCTCAGCATCAAGCTCCGCCACCATTAAGCGCTCTGAGACACTACCCTGTGTGAAGGCCGTTGTATAAGTGCAAGTTGATGTTGTTGACACTCCAATGCAGTGCTGAGGGTGTGTTGCATTGTTGGATGAGACACTAAGCTGAAGTCCTGTCTGCCTGTTCAGTGAAAGTTAAAGATTCCATGGTACTATTTGAAAAGAGAAGGGAGTTTCTCTTGGTGTCCTGGCCAACAATCCCCCAAGTAAAATTGCTCCATGGCTGTTTGTGGGACATTGCTGTGTGCCCACAAATACACAGTCACTCCATTTCACAGTAATTCTTTCTGACATGATAAGGCTTTTTCAAATGTAAGTATTAATATTATTATGTGTGTCTCCTAATTTTGAAATAAATGGAAAAATCTATAATAATGTAATCTAGTATAAATGCAGAAGTTGCCTAATTCAAAATTCAGCCTTATGGAGATTAATATTTTCCACTGAAGTAAAACACCTCCCAGTCGGGAGGAAGAATCATCACTTTGCTCCTGGTTCCATTAGAAGTCCTGGAGAGACAGTTACACGTGTATAGATAGTGCCTGGCTTAGTGAGCCCAAAAAGGAATCATAGATTTTACACAAAAAAATAATCATTCATCTGGTGGCAGCTCCTTCACCAAAGCTAACTAATGTCAATATCATATCCTTTTACAATGTTGCCCTTGAAATGCTAATGTGATTCCTTTTAAATTGATTTGCAACAATCGGAGGAACAAATTGAAGGTCGCATTGTTTTTAAATGCATCAAAAAATTAGAACTATTGAATTTGCAACTGACAATCTAAACCGCCTAAACCAGACTAATCGGCAGGGCGATCCGGTCCGACCAGCCGGAGTTTCCGGTTACGTATTGATGCATTTAAAATAAATGCTAAAATACACCGTTACACTGGACCGACAGGAGGATAGCATAAATAAAGGCTAGACAGATAAAGGACGGTGAGGCGGGATGTTGCTCAGAAGCTGTGAGTTGTGTGGCATGGGAGAGTTAGGTTGGCAGAAGTTTGGAATTTGCAGGAGGGTGGACGTTTGGCTTGCAGATTTTTTTTAATTTTCTGTATCCGGTCTGTCAAAGTCCGCATTATATATACTTGAAGTCCAGTTAGCCAGAGGTTGAGTATAAAATGTAAAAAAACGAGCAATTCAACACCAAAACAAACAAGCTAATCAACTAACCAAATCGGAGATCCTCACAATTATATGCACACCAATTTGTGTTGGGGCAGCCAGGTGCTGACCCGTGGAAACCCTTTGTTGTGTATTGCTGCATAGAAATCAAAATAGATACCAAGTGCTGGATATGTGAGGGCTTAGGATGACAGCTACTGGAAGACATTAGCTTGAGTCCAGGTCTGTGAACTTGTGAACACGTTCAGAAGCACACAAACGTAAATTTGATCTCCGTGTTTGTTACTGGGAAATTAGGATACATCTCCATCAAGAATGGTCATCTAAATTCTATACTGTAGGAT